GACACATCAACTTAATTCCTCTATAATTTGCACACTCTTGTGCATCCCCTTTATTCTTAAAAATGGGGACCAAAATACTCTTCCTCCACTCCTCAGGCATCTTTTTAGTTTTTAAAATAATATTAAAGAGTTTAGTAAGCTAAGAAACTCCCAAATCTTCTAAATATTTCTACACTTCAATTGGGATATCATCAGGCCCTACAAATTTTCCACCCTTGGTTTTCTTTAAAGCCTCCTCAACTTCTTTTTTACTAATGCGACGATAAAAATGAAACGTTTTATTATTATTCAAAATATTAAGATCACTAAGGTCGATCGTACTTTCAGAAACTTCATTAAAAAATGTATCAAAGTAACTCACCCACCTATGTTGAATATCTTTTTCTAAGAAAAGTATTTTTTTTTCATCTTTAATGCACTTTACTTGAGTTAAATTTTTACTTTTCTTTTTTCTTTGTTTGGCTAGTTTATACATATATTTTTAACTCTCTTTAGTATCTAATCTATTATAAAGATCATTAAAAACAAAATTTTTAGCGTCAAAGATTATTCTTTTAGACTCTCTGCGGGCCATTTGATATTTTTCTCAGATCTCTAACATTTTACATTTAAACCAATTTTTATAACATATTTTCATATATTTTACCCTTTTTTGCACAATATTACTCCACCACCAACTATTTTTATTTATAGAAACTTTTTCTTTTCATTCTCCAAATACAACTTTTACCATTTGTTTAATAGTTTTTATTAATTTATCCCACATAGAATTTATTTTATCGTGAACATCCCAAATTTTAAAATCTTAAATTTTACTCATAAAAATAATTTTATATGTGTCTTTTAGAAACCCTCAATTAATATTCTTTATGTTATGACACTTAATCTTAAAATCAAGAACTAATAAACGATGTTGGATACTTAAATTTTCACTTAGAATGACCTTACAATCTTTACAATCGCAACGATCTCTTCTTCTCATAAGAAAATAATCGATTTGTGTTTTATTAGATCCACTCTTATAAGTAATAAGATGCTCATCTCTTTTCTTGAATAAAGTATTAATAATAACAAAATCATACGCTAAAGCAAAATATAAAATAGCTCTACTTCTTCATTAGTTACTCCAAAATCGTAGCCATCATGAGTACTTCTTAAGTCTTCTACCACTCTACCGACATGTCCATTTAAATCACTTCCAATAAAAATTCTTTCTTCAAGAGGTATCATTTGTATTAAGTCTTCTAAGTCATTCTAAAATTTATCTTTAGACCCTGTATCTAAACCTGCTTGAGGAGTATAAGCACTTAAAATATTAAAAATCTTAGTATCAATGATAATCTTAAGGGTTATAATTTTATCTCCAACTCTACTAATTTTTATAACATTATCTTTCAAACTCTTATCTATAATTACACCTACATCATTTCTAGTGCAACTCTTACCAGAATACCAAAGTTTAAAACCTAAATTATCAATCTCCTTAGCCTTTTCTCCAACCCACTTAGTTTCTTGAATACATAAGATATTAATTTTCCTATGAATCATAATATCAACTAATTCCATTAATTTACCATTGAGAGTACTTATATTCCAAG